AAAAGTGAAGAAGTGGGATTAATCCTGCAGACAGTCTAATAGCTTTAACAGAGATACAGGTATACAAGTATATAGATATTACACCTGTGATTGCATTTAGTACAGGTATCTCTTACCTGGCTCTATCAGATCTGGTTATCTGTATAATACCATTGGTGATGATAGGTTGTGTACATGGTGTATCAGGATTATAGGTTTGCTATCTCAGCAGGTCAAACAGAGGAGGAGGACAAGAGGGTGAGGTGAGCATGGGGTCGAGGAGTGTTATAGTAGGAGACAGGCACAATTAGCCAAATGGGAGCCAGGTATCGACAGCGCCTGGGTATGATCTTGATAAACTTATATGTGTGGGGTATGAAGTGCAGCTTTCTTTTATCCATTCATAGCATATATTTTTAACAGTGGAAATGTACATTTAAAAAAAAAAACTGGTGACATTTGAAAAGATGTGCAAATGAGATGTTTTTAGTAACTTCAAGGAAGAAAATGATAAATTCATATCGCCTGTGATTTAACTGATCTATGTGCAGGTTGGACAGCCTATCCTAAAGGTATGTTCTACCTGTGAATTTGGTGATCAGTAGGCAGGTAAAAACTGATGTGATCAGGTTATGATTAAAAATAAATCTTCATTAATCAGCTGAGTCAGCCATGAACTGTGATAGGAGACTTCCTCAGGAAGTTTCACAGTTACCTATGAAACTGTCCAATAGATGGCAGCTCCTATCAAGTTTCCATACACATTGTATATCTATTAAATCAATAGTATCAACCTTCCTTAAAATTGTCAGCCCCCTAACAACAACAACCCCCCCCCCCCACACACACACACACACACACCCTCCCCCATCCCCTAAAGAAAGAACAATAAAAACCTGTAATTTAACATGAAATGTTACACAACAGGAGGGGACAGAGTCCCATACTCTCAAGTGAGGACAGATTTGGAGCAGAATGTCCATCAACTGTCCATCACACCTGACAATTCATCATTCTGTGACACAGGTAACATGAGCAATGTCAAAAGCTCACCCCTCAAACATTCCTTAATTAGAATTTATCAATATTTAAAGGTAGACAATAGACACATTCCAACCTTCCAATACTAGACTAAAGTCACTGATAAGGTTTAAGTGGCAGGTAAATATCTCTTCTCTTCAACTATCCAAACCTATTCAACACACCAACATTGCTGGTTTAAACAGGAACAGCAATGTATACAAAAAGAAGAAATATTCTGCCACTATTTTATCAGAACAAAAGCATAGTGTATATGAATAAACATGCTTTTTATATGAAATTCCTCAATGGTAACTTGTAAGGGTTGAAAATCTGCAACAGCAAACATGTATTGGGAATTTTCCTTGTATTTCTATCTTCTCAATCTACAATCGCCCTATTAATAAATTTACCCACATGACATTTCTAATCTAAAACTTTTAACATTAAGGTTTAGAAATTTCTTTCAGTTTCATTGCAAAAGACAGTCAACTGAGTGCAACTAGATTTTGTAACAGTACGTAACAGATCAGTAACACGTCTGACATAAAATCAGTTTTCGTCGAAATAAATATAAAGTATTTATTGGAAAACTTTGGAGCAATTCGTCCAGAACATTCACGAAAATGTTAGAATTATGTAAATATGTTACAGTAACGTCTTTTGTCAAGTCTGCTCATCTAGTAGAATCAGCACATAAACTCAGAAATCATTATACAAAGGTGTGATTATATAAAAGGGGACTGTACTTATCTAAGGACCAGTTATATCAATTACTTGAAACATTGCGAAATCATTTTAATCTGGTAAGAAGCAAAACATTTCTGTCTACAAAATCTTTATATATTTTTGATGTCAGAAGTGCATCATATACATGTAAAAACTGATGTGTTTGTAAAGGTTACAAGTAAATGCCATTTCAGGTTTTAAAATTTCTTCAACTTTTTCATTCATTGAATGACAAGCAAATAATCAAACTTGTTCCTTCTTACAATTAAACAGAAGCAATTCTGATACAAAAATTAAAATTTTAAACACTGAAGAGTGTTTTTACAAATTCAGTATTTCAAAATTGTATCATTTTCTTCAGAAATAAAGGTGTTTTAGTTATGAAGGACCAAAGGATAGGTAGTAATTAAGTTACGATACGTTCCAGTAGATTGTATGAGATGTTCACAGGTAATATCTATAGGTGTCAGGCCTGAAGGGGCCAGGTCCCTAGGGGCATCATCAGCTCTTGTCTACCTGTTTACACCTGTAGTCTACAGGTATGGGAATCGGTGTTCCACTTCACATCCCAATCAACTTGTCCCTATGGTGATGACATAACACTGTATAAGTTTCACCATAAAAATGTCGTTGCAAGTCAGCAGTAAACTTGACAACATCTGTTTGCTAGAAATGTTTAATTGTCATATTGATTATCTTCACTAGATCTTATACTGGCAGCCCCAAATCTTTCTTAGAAATTGTCAGTATATTGTTCACAATATCTGATTCGGAGTAATGCATCTTCCTTAGAAATTATCAATGTAACTGCTTTATTCACTTGTAAAAAATATTTGTATAATCAGATAAAGGCACTGTAAATTTAAATTGGTAATGTGTAGGCTTTCTGTCAAATTTTAAAAAAAAAAGAACAAAATTCAAAAGTAATTTGAAATCTAACTTTGATGTGAATATCCTGGTGAGATGAAAACAGCAGCTATGATATAAATCATATATTCTACCTCAAAAATTTAATATCAAATCTGAAATTGTTAATCTAAATTTCACCTACTGAACACAATATCTGCATGATTAGCCTGCATGTTTGATGAGTAAAACTTGAACACAATGGCCTTTTCAGTTCCACTGATCTCGCTTTAAGGCCCAACGTGAATCTGACTAGGACTACCAGGACAAAAGGTGTGCATAGTCCCAATATCCTGGAGCCATTGAAATCTGTTGTAGAGTGTGACAGCCTTGCCGGGACAGGTAAATACTATAACCTGTTCAAAAGAAGTGCCCGAAACCTGAATCAATTCAAAAACGAAACCATATAAAACCATATAATGACAAGTATGTCCAAGCGATTTCACATTTTCAAACCCAGCCAAGTAAACTGCCTTCAGGTCTTAATACAAATTTGATTACCATTGGCTGCGTGGCTCCTCAGGATGATGGAACTCCATTTTTATTTTATTACCAATTAAATCAAATGCACTGAAAACTTGAGCCTAATGACAAGTTTGGTGTGCTGATGAAAAAAAAAACCTGTATGCACATGGTTCAAACTTCAGTTCGTGCATGAACAGTATAAGAGTTTGATCGGCAGAGTAACACCACGGCCACTTTCCAAGTGTGTTCTGGGTTACAATGCTGTACTTTTAAAGAAAAACGCTGGAGTATATTATGTGATCAATTTACATTGGACAAACTCAGCCTATTCATTACAATGACTGATAGTCCTTAAAAAAGGTTTTAGATCACACATTCTACAACTAGCTAATCTTTATACATAATACCAGAAAAAGCAGTTGTAGGTTTACTTCACTGTGCATCAGATAGATTATAAAACTTTATATAAGCCCAGACAACTTCAATATATTGGTCTACCTTTTGATAAAATTTTCTCACAGTTTTCGGCCCTAACTTAAGATCTAATTTATCAAGGTTTTTTTTAGATTGTTCATAATTTCAAAATCCAATAAATTTACAAGCCATTGGCTTAAAATATTGTATTTCTATTCCAAACATATCTAGATTTTGAACATATGCCCCCCCCCCCCCAAAAAAAAAAAACAACACGTATATATCTAAAGATAAAGTATGTACATAAATCTATTTATCACTTGTACAACATCATGTTCCAATAAAAAGTTGAGTCACAGAGTCCAAAAATTTGAAGATACCTCTATGCACTCTATAGTAAACAGGACAAATGGGCTATAATTCCATGGGTAATTTATTTGTACTAAACATTTACTGGGACTGACCAGAAAGGGGAGCATATTTGTTTTAAGTATTTGTCAACTCATTTAAATGTTTGACTAGTCCTAAGCTGTGGCCCTCCATTGTAACAGGTTACAGGGCTATGGCGCTGTCCCTTACTGCTAGTTAGGGACTCTTCTCTCTGCCTTCTAACAATATGGTGATGAACACTGATGTTTAATTATCAAAACAACTTATACCATTTGGTTTGCCGTGATTTATCCAGAAAAACCTTGTTAAAATGTCAAAATTGTTTTTTAACAATTTTGTTATATCACCATCATTTGTCCAGTAAAACTTTTTATACTGCCAATATTTTAGTTTGGCAAAACCTTGTTATACTGCCACTATTTTAGTCTGGCAAAACCTTGTTATACTGCCATTATTTGCCACATGATCTGCCACATCCTAAAACCTGCCACTAAATAAATTTTGTTCTGTAAAACCTTTATACTACCATCATTTGTATAATGAAAAAGTGTCAACATTTGTTTAGTAAAACCTTTATACTGCCATCATTTGTCCCGTAAAACGTTTTACGGACACAATTTTTCTAGTAATATATCACAAAACACTGTTTTACTTCCTGAAGAAAGGTCAAAATTTCAGACGATAGAGAATTATATCTTTTCAACAATACAATCTGAAATTTAATTTTTGAAGAATCTTCTGGATATTAATGATAGTATGAATTCCAACAAGTCACAATTACATATTATCATAACTCTCCAGTGAGCTTTATACAATATTCTTTTTATCTTGGTCCTATCCATCATTGCATGGGAACAAGACAAAATGTAAGATTAATATCAAGGTGTTCCTATGGTCAATGTTTTCTTCTTTTTACCTGCTTTTAAAGCTGGAGGCAAACTATTTTCCTGGGCAAAACTGTTGGTTATTTCCCAAAAATGGAGAAAAAAATCAGGGAAATTGTCACTATTTCCTAGAAAACATTACTGTGTTTAGCCTATTTTTCGCAGGTACAATCTGCTGCAAAACCAACAAAGAAATAATATTGTGAAACTCACCTGTGTAAGAGATGCCTTTGGAACGGAGCTCTGTTTCTCAAGCGCACACACTTGTACCGTGAAGTTATCTCCATGGGTTTCCCGATCTAACACAACTGATGATGTAATAGATCCATTAATAATGTTCACTTCAAAATAATTTGCCGTTGATTCTTTACTTGAAGTAATTCCCGTAATGTAATATTCTGTGGTAGACGTTGTAGGTAAAGTTTCCAAGGTAAGAATGTAGCTGCCCGGTGGCTTGTTTTCTGATATCTGTCCATGATATGGTACATTCTGAAATGTTGGTCCACCAGATGAGCCAACCAGAATAACAGTGATATCCAGATGTGTTGACCGAGGGGATGGTATCCCGCTGTCTCTGGCAATCACCCTTAGTGAGTAGGTGACAGGAGTTTGGCCTATATTTTTCCGAAGAGAGAGTTCCCCTGTAGTTTCTTGGAGGCTGAACTTTTCTAGATCACCCTGTGCAAGTTCATACACAACAGTACCATTTGAACCGTTATCAGGATCTACCGCCAAGACTTTTCCGAATATCCCTTGACTTGCTGGATAAGGCAATGCAATAGCATTCATCGACAGGAATTCAGGATCATTGTCATTGATGTCACTTATAAACACCGTGATCTCCTTCTCTGATGATTTACTTAGGGAAGGTAGAGCTGAGTCAGATGCAACAACCTTCAGGGTAAATGTTGGTACTGACTCTCGGTCTAGAATTGATGAAATATAGATGTAACCATTTGAAGTATCAATCTTGAAATGCTCGACTGGTGGGTTTTGTGTCTTGATAGAATATACAACTTTGCCGTTAATGCCATCATCAGGATCCGTCGCAGTGACTTTGAGAATGTTTGTGTACAAAGCAGTAGCTTCCGATACAGTCACATAGGATGGAGTTGATCCAAAGTCTGGCGCATTGTCATTAGCATCCAGAACTCGCACAGTCAAACGTGCATATTGGGATAGAGACGTCTTTCCTTTATCCTCAGCCGATATATTCAAATTATATTGCGATTTTTTCTCATAATCCAGAGCTTTCTCCAAGTACAACTTTCCAGTGTTACGATCGATGTTGAAAGTTCCCCCATTCTCACTAACCTTGTACACAATTTGTGCATTCTGTCCTAAATCTGTGTCGGTGGCTGTAAAATGGGCTATTTCCTCACCTAACTGTGTTGTTTCCAAGATACCAATGTCAAAAGCTGTTTGGTCGAAGAGAGGTGCATTGTCATTCACGTCAAGAACAGTAATGGACACAGTTGTTGTAGCAGTGTATTGATGGTCTTTTCCAGAATCACTAGCGATTATCGTAAGAGTGTAACTCTCCTGATTTTCCCGGTCCAGTCCACCACTTAAATAGATCTGCCCATTCCCAGCACTGATCTTAAACCTGTTGTCCACATTGCCATCTACAATAAGGTATGACAAAGCAGCATTTTCATTCGTATCATTATCAGATGCTCCAATTTTCAGGACAAGCGTGTTCTCTGCAGCGTCCTCTAATAAAGACGCTCGGTAGACATTTTCCTTGAATTTTGGAGGATTATCATTGACATCTAGGACATTAACAACCACCATGACAGAATCCGTCAACCTCTGTAGACCATTGTCTGTTACATACACAGAAAACATATAGGAAGTTTTCCCCATGGTTTCATTTAGATATTCTCTGTCAAAGGGCCGTAAACTTGATATCTCGCCCGTTTGGGCATCGATGGTGAAGTTGTCTTGTGTTTGGTCCAGATAATACGAAAGTTCTGCATTGCGCCCAATGTCTTGGTCTGTAGCTTTAACCATCCCTACCACTGATCCAGCTGGTTGATTTTCCAAGATATCAAATAAGTAGGAAGCATTGTCAAACAGCGGCCTTTTGTCATTATCGTCCAGAATATAGATTGAAACATTTGCTGAGGAACTTCGCTGTTCCATGCTCATATCCTTTGCAGTGACGGTCAGTTTGTAATGGTCTTTTGTCTCTCTGTCTAATGTTCTTGCCAAGAAGAGTTTTCCATCTGGAAAGATGCCAAACTTTCCATCCCCATTGCCAGATGTTATGTTGTAGGTGACCTGACCATTTAAACCACTATCATCATCTGTTGCTGTCAGAGTAAAGAACTGGGAGTTCACATCCAGTGACTCGTTCAAGGAGACTTCATAGTTGCTATGGGAAAACACTGGAGTGTGATCATTGACATCGATGACTTCAATTTCCACACGTACTGTTGATGATAGCTGTGATGATCCACTGTCTGAGGCGATAACATTCAACACAAAATTTTTCACGTTCGACTTGTCTATTGGTTTTGCCAAGAAGATCATTCCTGTTGCTGGGTTGATATTGAATACATCAGGTGTTGATTGTAGTCTGTAGGAAATTTCAGCATTCTGACCATCATCAGCATCTGTGGCCTTAGCCAAGTACACATCATGTCCCACAGGCCAATTCTCCACTACCTCAGCTTCAGCAACAGAACTTGTGAACTTGGGTGTGTTGTCGTTGATATCAGAGACAGATATTCTAACTGTGGCTTCCCCAAACAAACCACCTGCTGTAGCAATGACCTGTAAGGTATACTGAGCACTTTCCTCCCTGTCGACACGTTTGTTGTTGGTAATTTTCCCTGTCCCACTATCCATTGTGAAGACACTGTTGGGATCCCCATCTACTATTTTGTAGGAAATAGACACACCAACATTTGTTGCGTCTGCCTTGACAGTTCCAACTGTGCGGCCAGAGACTACAGGCATATTAGATGGGTCTTCTACTATGCTGAAATCATATACTGTATTTCTAAAGGTAGGTGGAGTAGTACTCTGGTCTGTAATGACGACTTCCACTGAAGCAGTTTGTACATTTGTCCTTCCTCTAGCATCTGTTGCCTTGACACTCAGTGTGTATGTTGAACGGGTGTCACGATCCAATATGGCTGCCGTTGTAATTTGACCAGTGTTCTGGTCTATGCTAAATTGAGGATAATTCCCATTGAAGGAATAATAGACTGTCCCATTTAAGCCAAAGTCCGGATCTACTGCAAAGACCTTCACGACACTGGTTCCTACAGGTTTGTTTTCTAGGACTTCAGCAAAGTATGTGATAGGATAAAATCTTGGAATACTGTCATTAATATCATCCACATTTACATTGACGGTGGCTGTGGATGATCGCGCTGGTGTACCTCCATCCCGGGCGATGATTCTGATGATATAATAGGCAATGACCTCCCTGTCCAGCACCTTTAGGGTTGTAACAACGCCAGAAGTGGAGTCAAGCTGAAATGTTCCTGGGTATCTCTCATCTACATCCTGGTGTAACGAATATGTCACAGTTCCATTTGGTGCAGAGTCGTCATCTCTGGCAGTAACATTAACCACTTTTGATCCAGTTGGTAATCCTTCAGCTATTGATGCATTATAAATATGATGATCAAATGTAGGCGTTATGTCATTTTCGTCAGAAATTGTGACAATCAATGTTGTAAAGTTATACAAAGGATTCAAACTTCCATCATGTACTGAAACGTTCATTACAACTTGGGTTTGAACCTCGTACCTCAGGGAGGCCTGCGTGGTGACAAGTCCAGAACTTGCATCTATTTTGAACCAGTTGAACTCATTTCCAGAAATTATGGCATAAGATAGCTTTGCATTGTCACCAGTGTCAAGGTCTACAGCCGTCAGACTTGTTACATAGCTGGAAACTGGCACAGTTTCACTTAGTGATATTCTATACTGTGTTTTTGTAAACATAGGATGATGATCATTCACATCTTTGATATAAACCAGAATACTTTTAAGAGATGTTTTTGGTGGCGTTCCTCCATCAGCTGCCATGATAGTTATGTTGTATTTTTCAATCCTCTCCCGATCTAGTACACCGTTTCCATTCACTTTTAAAAACTCCAGCTTGTTATTGAGACGATTTTGTAAGAAGAAATGATTATAATCATTTCCCGATACAATACGTACATCTGAAATAGTACCGTAACTTCCTGTGTCACTATCGCTTACACTTATAATAGCTACATTGGTACCATTAGATGCGTTTTCGTCTATCGTTGAATATCCGAGACTTCCACTTGGTAAATATGTCACTTTCATTTCCGGTACATTATTGTTTTCATCTTTCACATTGACGGTTACGTAAGCACGTCCAGAAAGTGGAGGACGACCTGCATCTTCCACCTCAATGGTCAGCATACAACTAGATGGCTCACATGTGTCAATTGTTGAACGGTCACATCGACGCATACATTTCAATGGTGAGGATGTTGTTGAAATTTCTCCAGTTTTAGGATTGATGGTAAACTGCTGTGTGTCATCAGTTAATCGGTACGAAATATCTCCATTGATACCGATGTCTTTATCAGTGGCTTCCACTTTAATCACGGAGGTTCCAATTGGCACACTTTCATTAATACTGGCAACGTACTGACTTGGTGAGAATTGAGGTGCATTGTCGTTGTAGTCTGCAATACTAATGTTCACTTGTAAATATCCATAAAGTGGGGGAACACCTTGATCTTGGCAAGAAATCCAAAGTTGATAAAAATTCTTATCCTCTCTATCTAATCCACCAATGGCACGAACGAGAGGAACATCTCCAAACTGGTTAATGTCATAAATCAACATGAATTTTTCGTTGGCAGATTCCGTCATGTTGATGATGGTATAATTGGTGATTGTTCCAAAGCTGCCTTGATCGATGTCGGTTGCACTTGTCAACGGGACCTGATACCCGATGTTGACATTTTCATTGAATGTAATTTGAATACTTGACGAAGGAAATGCAGGTGAGTTGTCGTTGATATCTTCAACTGTTATGAAAACTTCGGTAGGGCATTGTTGAGTGGTACCCGACAAGGAACGAATCACCAAAATTTGTATGGGATTTGTTGTCAACGCTTCACGATCCAATTCTGCTGTGGTGGTGATGACCCCAGATGTGGGGTGTAACTCAAATAGTGACTGGGGTTCCTTAAATGAGTATGTATATGATGGTTGTGTGATAATAGTTCCCACCGTGCTTCCAGGGGGACGACCCTCCCTAATCGAGAATTGTTCGCTGGCTACATTACTACATGTTGATCCAGGCCCCTGGCCCTGGGCAAAAGCTATTAAAAACTGCAGTAAAACTAGCAGGGGAAACGTGTAACGTGAAGTTCTAGATGGCATATTGTTAGTACGATACTTTATACTTGCCATCACTAAAACCTGGAGACTCCTGTGACTCCAAAACCAAGTACTCCGTTAGTGACATAACGCGAGTACCATTGTCGCACCTGTAATCAATAACTGGACAGGTATTTATCTAAAATCCTCACATTTTCTTGGTAACAGAAGGAAACAGTAGTATGTTTTCACATAGCTTAGTCCACATTTGCTTTTTCACTTTAGTTCCCAAATGCGATCAGTTGTTGTTGACACAGAGCCACTGTTTCGTCGCGTTCACCGCCGTCGATCTGTGGCCATACCCGGTTATACATGTACTATGGAACGAGTATACCTGTGTTCTAGTCGATAGGTTTACAGTCACTACTTAAACTACACAGACACAAACTCACACACACTACATCCCGTTAGCATTCTCCTTACTTGTTTCATTTGTAATCCATCTTTGTTTCTCGTCTTTTTCACTAGTAGAAATTCTAAGCTTTCAGTGTAGAGCTGGTCTGTATACTGTGTACAGTCATGTCGATAGCTATCAAAGCATTCACACAGCTCGTGACGTCAGCTGTTAGGAACCGCCCCCTCCAGTTGATTGACAGGTCGTCTCAGGTAAATATTTCGTTGATTATTCATTGTTGTTTAAGAAAAGGGGTCATGGCGTAACATAGCCAAGTTTTAACCGGTAATTAGAAAAAGATAATTTCGTAAGTCGTTGTACCCCATGTCAAAAGTGATTTTATAAAGGTCTCTATTATCACGGACGTCTTTTTCACTATATGTTGTAGCTCTCCCTGTCGTATTTATCACAAGCACCAATATCAAACTGTATAGAAATTCTTAGTAATGTAATTGTGCTTCAGTCTTCCATTCTTTCGAAATATCACTATTTCTATTACAGTCGTGACTTCAATATAGAGCGATATGTTTACATGTCTTAAATTAATAAACATAATTGTATGGCAAGCGAAACTGGAGAGCCTTCCAAATATACGAACATAACTGAATCCCAACCTTTTACTGTGATCTCAGTAGGTTTACCAGGTAATAACCGTAAAAATGTATTATTGGCTTGTGATGTTTTTCAACTATTACTACACTCCATACATCAGGACTCGGATGGTCTACATTAATTCCGTGACACCTCTTGGTAAGAACATTTTCAAACAATCACAATAATTTGGTTGTTATTATGTGTTGTTTTAATTTACATGAAACGAACATACGGTCTCTAACAAAATAAAGACATGCAAAAATGGAGATGAAAAACACTGAGCTGGCAGCAGAGGGACATAATTTTCTATAGTCAGAATAAAATCTAAATGTGCATGAGATTCTTTTTAAATCTTAACTGAAAGCTGTAATTGGAGGAGAGAGGAGGCAAACTTTGAGAGATCCTCGTCGTTGTGGTCGGGGAGATAGCAATCATACTCTAGCTGTTTTCTATTTACTACTGACCTCTGACCTCTAAATAATCTACCACATAACAGAAGTGACACTAGCTTTAGTTCTACACTTTAATTTCAATACGTCAAATTAGAGGAGAACTGAGACTGGAACCCGTTATTTAAATGTTAGAAATCAATTAGAATGTTGGTCATGACTGTTGACACGCTTATAACTGATAAACATCGTTTACTAAAATAAAAAAAAACACACACAATTGAAATCTCATGCAAAATCATTTATATTTCCCTCTTTTTATGTGCTCAAATGTTTAAAAGAGCCATTTTTATAACTGGGACTCTTGTAAGATAACCTTTGAATCCTAATGAATCATTTTCAACTGTAATCTATCAAACTAGCTAAAACTGCTGTCAATATACTTTATATTAATATACGTAATAAATTCATCCTGTCACGATCTGTCAATATCACTGGTCAGTTTCTGACCGGTCAAAAGTGACACAAGGCTATGTCGAGGTAGGCAAAGGGTAGGGCACTTGACCCCCGTGGGTTGCGAGTACCCTGACCAGGTAAATTAACACTGGTATTCAGACGAGTTACTCCCTGCTAGGTAATTACGGCGTGTAGTGCAGGTACGCTGTTTATTGTTTACATGAATAGAAGCTAACTGTCACTCCGCGGGAGCGTGAGATTGAAAGGGAGGGGGAGATGGTTGTTAGCATGTTATTGTCTTTCCTTAGCAACAATCTTATACGATGTTACTATAATCACGGCCCGTGATGTATAAGTCACTTTTATCATTCAAATAAAAATGTCTTATATATATACACGACGTTACAGTTGTTCGGAGGTGCAAACACAGTTTGATTTATATTCATGCCTATGAGGAAATTGATTGTTGGATAAAAAGTAACACAATTTTTGTAAATACAGGCAAACTATGTGAGATATTGGTTCAATAATATAGTATGTTTCTTTTAAAACCAATTTTTGTATAAATTCAGTCTGAAACATTTAGAGTTTCGTTCTCTTTTTAAAGTTGTTTGGTACAATATGTAATACAAGAGTCTTTTGGGTTTTTAAAAAGAATTTCCGTAAGATGGCATAAGTATTACTGCCATCCAGTTGTTTTGGCTAATTAAGTAACATAACATTTTGAGATAATTATTACAAGTCGTTTTATTTTGAAAAAAAGCTAACGCATTTTTACTTTTTATTTTTTGTAAGATTTATACCGATATGTTGACATAATTATCACAAATCAAGTGAAATCATTTGTTTTACATCCATGTATTATGTCGACAATTCGGCTTAAAATTCTTTTTAGTTTGAAATCTGGACTGTAGTAGGGGAAGTAACCCCTACTAATATCTTCTCTTCCTATCTACGCAAGGGAATGAGAAGTAGTAGGACTCGTCAGCTGATAGGCCGAAAGGCCGTAATAGTGGAAGTAAAACACGTTTAAAGAAATATATAGGTAACGGGAAATTTTCCTGAGTTAAAATAATGTAACATTTCATGCTTAAAACAAAAACAAACAAAAAACAAAAAACAAAAAATGAGAGCAACTGCTTCCTAGTGTAGTTCGTTTTTAACCAAATGATAAGAAGATAACTCTTATATTTTTTTCTAGTAAAATCCAAGACAAACGACAATATCACATTCATCAAGAAATAAATAGATAAATAAAATCAAACAGAAACAATCAATGACAGAGGTTGCTGTCATGTATACCAATTAACATAATTAATATTCTTACGAAAATCAAACAATGTGTTGAGAGCCTTCTTTTCCCCCCAAAAGTACAAATTAAGTTTTCTGGTGACATGACATAACAAGGAAGAATATCAAAATAAACATGATAAATTCTAACTTATAAGATATGCTGAAAATATCCATTAACAAACAACCATCGTAATGAGGGTGTAACGGTCAGTTGACTATGAAGTACTTCTTTAAAGCCAGGTGATCAATACATTTTTGTGTCCTATATCATTGGTCATATATCGTTCTCTGCTATACTGTGAGGCCATCAATATGTATTCATACACAAACCACAAATAAGCTGATTAGTGTGAAGTACACACAGCTTTGTCAGCCACACTTCTGTTTTTTTTATATGCGATTTCAATATATAGATTAAAATGGTGAACTGGCAATCATCTCGTTTTGCTCTAACAAGATCATCTGATATGTTCATGGGCTGGTTTCTTATTGTATTAATTTTTCACAAATTTGCAGAAACATCTTGCCTTACAAATTAGCCATATTGTGCGTAATATCATTAAATTGTATATTTTTTTAATTCAAATTTTCTGTCATTACTTGACATATGTATTGCCTGTTGTATGGTTGTATAAATTAGTGAGTAAAAACTATAAAAGGTATTACAACGTATCAATTACAGATATTTTCAGCATAGAAAATTGCACTGAGTCAAACGAGTGAAATATATAACATGATGGATTCCAGGTATGAAGTAGTGAGTAAAACTAAAGAAATCATGAGTAAAAATTTGCAAACCTATAGAATAAACTTCACGTCAGACGTCACCATGACACGCTCCGACGTCACATGACCTGTTCTCATTAATCGCCTGAAATAGACTATCTATATTCTAAAGGTTATCCACACGTTGTGTAGACGTCCCTATTTTCTTTTTTTTTTTAATTTAATTTTCCAATGGTGTCACCTTATCAGACTGCCCTATTCGATCGTTAGATTTGGACTTTGGATATTTCAATTTTCAGTCAAGGTCAAGGCGGTGTAGTAATGAAAGTCGTCCTGTTGCTATTTAAGAACGGTGCTTCCAAAGCGACTCTCCTGGTTGGTGACACAGCCAGCGGGCGATGCTCTTTCTGTGACTTCTGCCAAATGTCTGACGACTCTACCTGGGATCTGCTTATGGTTCCTGTTAACTGTAGCAGACAATGAATCACCTGCATCTTATAAATAATGATAATAGTGATGACAAATAACACATATGTATTGAACAAATATTGCGTATCTTTGGTAATCCTTTAAGATTGCAGGTGACAGACTCTTGTTGGTGGACGTCTGAGGTTGCTGTCTTAGTAAATACACCATGTACTTCACGTTCTCTTGAAATCATCTGCTAAGAAATAAGAAAACCGCAGTATTGAGCTTGTGCATCTCCCCATCTAGATTTTGATATTCCTTTTGACATGTTTTGGTTTTCCTCAGACGCCTTCAAGCTATCAACATTCCAGACCATTATCATCAGGTGTAGTTGAATTCATTATTCGATTCTACTGTATCTATTTCTAATTAAATTGTATGTATTAAAAGGCGCCATTCTTTTGTATATTCCACTGGTACGAACGTCTGCGATATCATTTTTCATGGTTTATTTCTTCATCACAACTCTCCTAGCATAAAAGCGAAGAGTTTAGGTTAAAATCTCAGACCTTAGCGTCATCTTCACAATTTCTGGGACCATCAGTTTTTCGTCCTGGTTATTTTCCATATTTCGGGATTTCACTCTTTCCAGTAATATTATCTTGACATCTCTTGTGGGCTTTCCCTTCAGGAACAAAAACAGTCGATCAAGCGGCACTCTTTCGCAATTCCTTCCTCTGACATTGCATTTCCGGGTTATCTACTTCTATACATAATTACTTTGCTGATGTGAGATAACGTGTCTCTACCTGTACCCGTACTGGTACAAATCCAACTGTGACATTGGCAGATTAAACACAAGCAAAAGTCATCTGAGAATGACTAATCGACAGACTGCAAGCAAGCACTTTTACCTGAGAACATGTTACAAGTGTATTTGGACCTATCCCGATGTATCAAGTGAGGATAGTTCCAAATACACTGAGGTCCGTGTGCGGCCGGCGGGGGCTGGAAACGGCAAAAAAGAAAGAAAGGAAAAAGGGAAGAAGATTCAGGAAGGTATATTTTTTTCGATTTAATAATAAAGCAATATCAATATACTTAAGAAATGGACAAAGTCAAAATTTAGTAGATAACGACACAGTCCTCTGGGAAATATCCTCCCTTCTCTTTACCACTAAACCGACACTTCTTATAGCCGAACAGCATCCCCTTCCTTGGTGCCATGGAACACACCTCTAACTTCTGGCCTGTAACGGTAAGGTTGTATTCAATAATGATCACTATATTAGGAAATGTGTTTTTTCTGTAGCAGTCCAAAATATGTTTTATATATTAATTACTCACCACGTCTTATAGTGATGTCCCGAGCAGACTTTTTCCGATAATCCTTCGTTACAACCACGTGATAAGAATTGCCTTCATCCAAACAGAGAATAGGAACCTTCTTTGGCTGTACTCCTGTACTCAATAAGAAAATAAAAGATAATTATGAGTATGGTCATAAACGGTAACAATGAATAACCAAAAGGACATATCCATAAAAGGCGATAATAAGAAACCAAGAGGATATGTCCATAAAAGGCATCTGTACCACTATGCTTTGTTTTCCTGGGTTGTCCCATGATTTTGCAACAGAGGCAAGACATCTCATAAATATTGAGCCTTGTCTCCAGAATCTTTCATTAAGAAAGACGAAGTAAGAGTTTAATATAACGCCCCTGATTTAGAACTTCTTTTAAATTTTGGGACTTGTAGCAAGTCTACCTCTTTACCAGTAAAGTAAAATTATTGCCTTTTACACTCCAAATTGTTAAACTTCAGACCATTCCCCTGTAACATTAACTTAATTCCTGTAACAGTTTATTCCATAATGCTCTTTTTACGACGGATTATTTCAAGCAAGGCGATGTTTGCGAACGTCCACAAAATGCTGATTACAGACAATGTATGATTTTATGGACAGTATATATTTAAACAACCGACGAGTATATAAATTCCTCTTCTTACTGGCACAACCAAAATGCTTTCATATTGCTTTCGATTCACGCTTTCTTTCCTACAAATACATACAACTTACCAGAGTCCCCCTCTCCCATCAAAGCGACATCGAATTCATCCCCAGGAAGAAACGTTTTCATTGATGTTCCGCTACTTCGAACAATTCTTCTATCCTCATCACAATCGATCTTCTCTATGGAGGAAGATTCACAGATAAGACTGGTGACTCCTGCAAAAGAGACAATAAAACATGTTTAAAAAAAGACAAATAAAAACACATGCCGTAAGGCCTGTGAAACAACAGGAGCAATGACTGCATAACAACTGGAGAAAGCAACCCGTAAAGACTGAGAAACAACAATAATGACTGGGTAATAACTAGAGTATTGACTGGAAAACAACTGGAGAAAGCAACCCGTAAAGACTGAAAAAAAAACTGAAGCAACGACTAGGCAATCATAACAGGAGAAAACAAATCGTACCGACTGAAAAATAACAGGAGCAATGACTGGATAACAACAAGAGAAACAACCCACATAGTCGTAATAACATCAACAATAACAACAAAAAGACGTGCAGACCCTTTGTTAAACCGAGCACAAAGAAAATTCAAAAGGAATACATGTAGATGTTGAATTTAAAGCAATACACCACCAGGATTTAATTTTGCAATAAATGTCATACCTTCATAAGTTGGAGGCTTATGGTAATTGATCTCTAGTTTCACTTTCCTTCTATCCAAACGTGCCTCTCCGAGTGACTCATCCTCTGACGTATTGTCAAGTCGTACCACAAGGTCCGTTTCTACATCGGACAGTAGGGTGTTATTTCGGGTAGAAACGACGACAGGTGATAAGGGCGGAGATAAGCTCATGTCAGTTTCCATATCCATCTCCTGGAAAATATCGCTCAAATCATGAACTAGCACTTAACGCAGCCGCTCCCTCGCATCATGGTTTAGCAGTGACGAGAAGCCGCTCCTTTGCATCATGGCTCCACGAACTAGCATTGAAAGGGAGCCGCTCTGTCACACCGTGAACTAGTATTGACAAGAAGCCTCTCCCTCACATCATGAACTAGCAATGACGGGGTGCCTCTTCCTGACATCTTGAACTAGCACCTCATGGAGCGTCTCCCTCAAATCATGAACGAGCATTTACAGGAAGCTGCTCTCTACACCATTAACTAACATTGACAGGAAGCCATACCCTTAAATCATGAACTGGCATTGAAAGGGAGCCGCTCTCTCTCATTTTGAACTAACATTGAGTATGAGCCACACCCTCTCATCATAAACTAACATTGCCAGGGAGCCACCCTCTTATAGCATGGACTAACACTGACAGGGAGCCCCTTCCTCTCATTATGAACTAACAGTGATAGGGAGCCGCTCCCTCTCATCGTGAACTAACATTGAGAGGGATCCACTCCCTCTCATCGTGAACTAACATTGAGAGGGAGCCCCTCCCTTTCATCATAAACTAACATTGACAGGGAGCCACCTTCTTATATCATGAACTAGCACTTACAGGGAGCCCCTCCCTCTCATCATGTATTAACATTAATAGGGAGTCACACCCTCTCATCATGTATTAACATTGAGAGGGAGCCCCTCCCTCTTATCGTGAACTAACATTGAGAGAGAGCCACTCCCTCTTATATCATGAACTAGCACTTACAGGGGGCCCCTCCCTCTCATCATGTATTAACATCGATAGGGAGCCACACCCTCTCATCATGTATTAACATTGAGAGGGAGCTCCTCCCTCTCATCGTGAACTAACATTGAGAGAGAGCCACTCCCTCTCATCATGATCTAACATTGAGAGGGAGCCCCTACCTCTCATCATGATCTAACATTGAGAGGGAGCCCCTACCTCTCATCATGAACTAGCACTTACAGGGGGCCCCTCCCTCTCATCATGTATTAACATCGATAGGGAGCCACACCCTCTCATCATGTATTAACATTGAGAGGGAGCCCCTCCCTCTCATCGTGAACTAACATTGAGAGAGAGCCACTCCCTCTCATCATGATCTAACATTGAGAGGGAGCCCCTACCTCACATCATGATCTAACATTGAGAGGGAGCCCCTACCTCTCATCATGATCTAACATTGAGAGGGAGCCCCTACCTCTCATCATGAACTAGCACTTCCAGGGAGCCACTCCCTCTTATCATGAACTAAAACAGATGGGGGCTTTTTCTCTCATAATGAACTAGCATTAACAAGGTGACTCTTCCTGTGATAAAAAACAATATCGAATCCACAATACTGGTGACGTCTGATAGATATAATCAATTTGTGGTCTATTTCACATAAGACATGATACTGCGATACTTTTATAAGGAATTTTGTTGATCACAGAATCAGTTCAACAACTTGGTCACACTTTCAACAATCCAAGCGTACGTCTATAGACACTAAATATGTTTTTAACAAATGTTTCTAGTGAAAACATATCACTATTTCATGATTTTCTGAAACATCAATAATGTAGCTTGGAAACAGAACAAGAATCCTGATAGTTATACCAATACAAGCAGTGTCGTTACCTTGATGGTGAACTGCTTCTTCCTGTTCTCTGCCAACCGTTCAACCATTTCCGGCACGGATACAGAATCGGACAGCTTTAGCGCTTTGCACTCATACCTAAAACGGAAAATTCAAGCGTGCAAAGGTATATTTTGATCCGTTGAAATTTTAATTCCTTATACCTCAGTGTTCGACAGCACCATTGCACTCTACTAAACCACCAGTCGCTCAAAAGAATATATCTCGTCAAAGCCATAGCTTTTCAGAACAATAAGAATTTGTTAATATCAGTGTGTGGAATTGGGATTGTCCTAGCAACCGATAATGTCATTAATAGCTATTTCAGCATACAAACATTCCAGTCATTGTTGAGTGAAGCACTTTGACTTTTCAAAGTCCAGATTTTCCAAGACTTTCCAATGACATCAAAGATATTATACAATATAATAGGAGTGTAATCTCTAAAATTTTGAACAGGGACAGAACCTTCTACTGCCAACACGACAAGTGCACATGAAGTAATTAGCATATTTAGATAATGTCACGATGCAAATTACTAAATTAACTCTTTGAATATATTGTAAATACATGTGCTTACAACAAAGACTACGAATTTAGAATATAATCAAAGAATGTAAGTCTCAATTACACAAAAGACCATTTCATTGATTTGTGCAGTGTTAGAGCCGCAGTTGAAAGTGTTCTTTATTAAAAATTTGGTGGCAATTCAGACAAACCGGACGTACTCTCTATCGTCGGTGTCTAGTGACGTCATCTTTTCTGTGAGGCATTGTAGCCACTCTTGGACAAGGAACTCCGACCGTCGGATTTCTTTGTGAATCCATGAAGCCCTTAGCTTTTGTGATTGCTGAAAAAACCATTAGTCTCTTTGCAAAGAAAACCATCATTGATAGTAACAATATGGCAAAGTCGAATTCGAAAAGAGACAGCGAAAACAGTACAAGTACACAGACGAGTTTGTGTGTTTTAAAAAAATATATTTTTTTTTATATATATCATGACCAACCGTATCCTTACGGACGAAAAGCCTTATGATAATGTAATCAAGTAAAACGCTGCCTTACATGATGTAGATGTTTGTTTTCATATTATTTTTTGTGCGGAAAATCAAACCTGTTTCGCCTCCTCTACAACAGAAGCCTGTTTTTGCTGGGCCTGGCGACATTTACTAGTTGCTGTATCCACACTTCTACGGATCTCCTTCATGTTACCATGTAGTTCTGGCGCCACTTCCTGTCTGCTTTCGTCCATCCTGGCTATGGCCATCAGATGTTCCCTCAACTTCGATCGTTTCCTCACGAGCTTCTATAATAAAAAAAACTAATGTAAACTAAATGCTGACACAGACACGGGAATCTTAAATATAATCGCCATGATACCCAATTCTACAAACTTCCGACATTCTCACGTTTCATTCACAATTCCGTTGATCCGTCAAGAGTTATGTCAACAGACTCCGATATTTTTCGAAAATTTAGAAATTTAAGGAAAACAAGTTAGGAGCTTTGCTAAAATGTGAGAAAAAATTGAGACCAAGACACGCAAGCAAAAGAACAAATGAAGATACCAACTTGCTGAAGCTGCTGACAGGTGGCAGAGACTTTGCTCAGTGTTCTCAACAGGTGTCGATAGGTCATCATACGGCCCGTGTACTCGTCAGATACATCACCGACTGTTTCCCTGTAAATATACCGAGATATAATATAATGAGGTACTCTTCAGATACAGCATCAACTATTTCTGTTCATATATTGAGGTTTAAAAGAACAGCATTAAAAAGATACAGCATATGCCGTTTCTGTGTAAATACTTGAGGTATATATCCGTGTACTCGTCGGACACAGTCACAGCAGTTTTAAGTAAATATACTGGGATATAGCAAAACTGTGTTCTATACTGGAGTACAATAAAAACGTTTCAGATACAACCTCGGCTGTTTCTGTGTTTAGAAAAAAAACAAGACTCGTAGTTATCTAGCGGACCCTAAAATATACTCTATATTCACCAATTGTAGAAATTGCAGCGCTTATTGTAAACCCATTTTCAATACAAATCCCATCATCCGACTGGTCATAAAGTTTTGATCCAATTCAATCTTCAGAATCAATTGAATGGGGGACGTAGTGGTGGTGGAGAGATGTCCAATCTCCCTCTTCGTGAGAGGGGGACGTAGTGGTGGTGGAGAGATCTCCAATCTCCCTCTTCGTGAGAGGCGGACGTAGTGGTGGTGGAGAGACGTCCAATCTCCCTCTTCGTGAAAGGGGGATTGGATATATCTCTGTGCCGTGTAGTGAATGGAGAAATTCTACACTTTCTCCTGGTGAGAGGGGTCGTAGTGGGATAGAGAAATGTCTATCCTTTCTCCTTGTGAGAGAGAAATGTCTCCTTTCTCCTCGTGAGAGGGGGGATCGTAGTGGGATTGGATATATCTGTGTCTTTCTCCTAGCGAGAGGGATGTAGTGAATGGAGAAATTCTACACTTTCTCCTGGTGAGAGGGGTCGTAGTGGGGATGGAGAAATGTCTATCCTTTCTCCTTGTGAGAGGGGGCGTAGTGGGGATGGAGAAATGTCTATCCTTTCTCCTTGTGAGAGGGGGCGTAGTGGGGTGGATAAATATCTATCCTTTCTCATAGTGAGAGGGGGACGTAGTGGGGATGGAGAAATGTCTATCCTTTCTCCTAGTGAGAGGGGGCGTAGTGGGGATAGTGAAATGTCTATCCTTTCTCCTAGTGAGAGGGGGCGTAGTGGGGTGGATAAATATCTATCCTTTCTCATAGTGAGAGGGGTTCGTAGTGTGGGTAGAGAAATGTCTATCCTCCTTGTGAAAGGTATACTCTTCCTCACAGCACACTTTACTATATATATCTCGGATATATAGAAGTAAGTCTGGGTTTGTAGCAACCTTTAAACAACAGACCTGGTCCTCCCAGCCCTGAAACTCAATAAAGAAACCCATGAAAATATGGGTAAATCTGAATGTTCGACAAATACATAATATCGAGATTATATTGAAATATTGTTTTCTTATCTTTTATCTCACAATATTCTTCATTAATACTTACAGTATACAGCAAACCATTTCATCCGACATTTTTCAAAATGTATAATAAGAAAAAATATAATTACCTGTCCGAGATCAACTTGACGTGTACTTAAAAACGAACGTAAGGAGAAGTACCTCCGTACCTTTCTAGGTGGCGTGCCAGCCGAGTGAAGGCTATCGAATTCCGTTCCGCCTGGTCAGCCCTTAGGTTGGAGAATCCCAATTCCATCTCTAGAGACTTGGTCAGGTGTGAATCTATAGTTTTAGTTAATATTGAAAGCAACATATACTTCTTAACATTAAGAGACTGAACGATATTTTACCAGGTAGAAAATGATTTGAAACACATCTACTTAAATTCGAATTTTTAGTTGCCTTTTTGAGGAATATGATTGCAATGCTATATTTAGTACTTAATAGTCAATTTTCGAAATATTGTACCTTTGTGAGTTTGTAAACTGGAAAGCTCCTTGCGGACAGAAGCGGTCCATGCATACATTTTCCTGGCAAACTGGTCCTCAATATGTGCTTTATCATCAGCGATTTTTCTCCAGAACTCGAAGTCGGTAAGACTAGACAAAAAAAACACCATTTTATCGATTACGTCACAGTGTACCAATCTTGATAAGATATAAAGTTGAAAACATCTTAACATAATTTATTTGATTGCCTATGGCAGTATCCAGCCATTCAAATCGAACATGTCGTTTCTCTTTATGTGTAGGTCGTTCTGCGTCTAAAGCGGTAGTAATTGGAGGTATGGACCCCTATTTGCATTACACAATTGGAAAGTGATATAAGACAATTTCATTTATTGATTATTATGAAGAAAGTCTTGTTGAATAAAAGAATGTTTTGTGTTGGAATGATTGGTTTAAGTAAGTAAGTAAGTAAGTAAGTAAGTAAGTAAAAAAAGTAAAATGGGTGTGGTGATTATGGGTTGGATCAGTTTGTAAGTAATTCTGAAGAGTTTCTTCAAAACTTCTTACAGGCACTGTTAATGAGGCAAGTTTTGACAAGTACAATTTGTAATTAGTACGTGAGTGGCAATCACAGATAAATAGAATAAACAGAAAAATGTTTCAAGGTGATGAGCACGGTTTATTAAAACGTGATTTACACAATGACAAGAAATAATTAAAAATGCAAATGAAATATGTCACAATTTCCCGAATTTTAGTGATACTGATACGTTAGTACTAATTTTATATGATAATGTCTTATCTAAGAGCAATGTAATTTGTAAAACCGTGTTTTTTTTATATATATTTTACAAAGACGAAGTTTATCATATAGATAGTACACTTGGTTTGCAGTTGCCAAGAGGAGCAAAATATTTTACGTATAATTATTATTTAAACATATCTAATAAATATTTTCAGAGTGGCGGTATATACTTTTAATGAATCAATATTTATTTTCATTTTGGTGTAAAGATTTATTTAATGGCGAGATGTTAATAAGATATTTGACTTGACTTGATCTGTATAATGTTAGCCTAATAGTTGATTCTGAATTCAAGATCTTCTCTAAGATTCGAACCCGGAAAATATGACTCGCCAGTTTTAAGATTAACAAAGAAGATTCTCTTCATCTGAGTGTTATTGCGACTAGTGGTTTAACAGGATTACAATATGGTTCACTTTGTATAGTTTCTGTTCGAGACAAGAGTCAGGTTACATAACGGGTGTGTCATTGATACATGTAGATAACATCTACTGCAGACCTGATAAAAAAAAAAAAAAACATCAACAGTGCCACAACTGAGACCTTCGATGCTTCAGACAGTGGCCCCCAGCAACAATAGGTAACACGCATCCTTCTACCAACGTACGTGTCCATTAGGTCCCTGCGTTGTAAACATACTGATTCAGACTGTAGTATGGTTGCAAAGTAAATTCGTAGTACATTATCTAAAAGTATAAGTGTTCACACGATCAGTGAATCATAACATGTTTTCGGGAATAATGAAATAGCAGTCTTACTGTTTGTGTTCATACGAGTTCCCGCCACTTCTATTTTTCGGATAAAAGAGCTCAAAAGAAATTTCCTTTTGTCCCTGTTCCGCCATTGTTATTGTATGACAATGACGTCATACGTGACGTAGACACATGGACATTTTCCCGCGGGAAAATCTTTCAAGTATACTAAACACTTTTCCGTGAAGTTTGATAATAAATTTCTGTCTTAATCTTGGGGAGGCGCTTTCCGCAGAGACAATACTGGGATTTTTAAAAATCAATTTAATGAAATTCAGAATGCATACATATTTGTATAATTCATTAAGTTCGTTAGGCCTGCAGTGTAAACTGATATGCTTTAAAACATCCTACATTAGAATATTTACATTTTAAATAGCCTATGATTTAGACCAGGAGAGTTGTTTGCAAAAATCCACTCGACAAATGTTGTGTTTCTCTTAGAATCTCCATTCTGACGCGAATCATGCCTCATCTTGTCCAAATAGCGTATTTTTCACGGAGAGTATACCTAAACAGCCTATTTATACTGTTGATCTTACACGATGTCTGCAAGGAGATCTGCACACTGTTTTCACAAACACCATCCGTAAACTTCTTCTTCCGAAAAAAATCTCACAGCACTTAGTGCACTTTTCATTAGCGATGTTCCAAATGTGACGTCATCAGAGTGTTTATATTAAAGAGATCTACTGTTTATTGTTGTTATTATATTTTGACGATATAATGTATTGACTGGTTGGTAGAGAGGAGTCAAGTACTAATTTGAAGACCTTTAAAATGTTTGATTCAGTGATTTCTTCGAGAATACTTAAATTTGAAGAAGTTCATGGGTACCGCTAGTTCTTCTGTCCCCCTGTGTAAAATATTCAGGTGGTACAATGGTTATGATGTCCATATAATATGATAGTGTATATCATTGTGAATCTTGCATACACTAAGGACTCCCAGTTCAGAGCCTGGACCATAGATGTTACACAGTCAGGCTCACTAAACCAATGCTTTCTAATAACTTATTGTTGCGTGAAAGATGATAAGATCTGAACCAGGAGCTCATTACAATGTCATATAAGGTCATTTTGACAGATGAATTTGAAATTGTTCACGAGGACACTTTGTAGCAACTGCTGAGAACATCACAGAAACATTTAGTGGACACGATGACTTTCAGGACACCGGAAGCTGGCTTCAGTAGTACAGACAGTGCTGACAGTCTATAGTTTTCATGCCGTAAAACATACAGCTTTAGTGCGGGAATTTAGACAGAAGCCCACAAATATATTGACCCTCTGCGTTATATTAGTTAGACACTGATACCTGGTTAAGCCCCTGTCGTCTATTAGTTAGTCACTGATACCTAGTTTAATTTCAGTAGTCTATCAATTAGCCACCGTTACCTGTTTTAATTTCAGTCGTCTATCAATTAGCCACAGTTACCTGGTTTAACCTCTGTCGTCTATTAGTTAGCCACCGTTACCTGGTTTAACTCCTGCCGTCTATTAGTTAGTCACTGTTACCTGGTTTAACCCCTGTCGTCTATTAGTTAACCACTGTTACCTGGTTTAACTCCTGTCGTCTATTAGTTAGTCACCGTTACCTGGTTTAACTCCTGTCGTCTATTAGTCACTGTTACCTGGTTTAATTTCAGTCGTCTATCAATTAGCTACCGTTACCTAGTTTAATCTCTGTCGTCTATTAGTTAACCACCGTTACCTGGTTTAATCTCTGTCGACTATTAGTTAGCCACCGTTACCTGGTTTAACCCCTGTCGTCTATTAGTTAACCACCGTTACCTGGTTTAACCCCTGTCGTCTATTAGTTAACCACCGTTACCTGGTTTAATCTCTGTCGACTATTAGTTAGCCACCGTTACCTGGATTAACCCCTGTCGTCTATTAGTTAGCCACCGTTACCTGGTTAACTATCTGTCGTCTATTAGTTAGCCACCGTTACCTGGTTAACTATCTGTCGTCTATTAGTTAACCACCGTTACCTGGTTAACTATCTGTCGTCTATTAGTTAACCACCGTTATCTGGTTTAACCTCTGTCGTCTATGGTTTAACCTCTGTCGTCTATCAGTTAGCCGCCGTTACCTGGTTTAAGTTAACCACCGTTACCTGGTTAACTATCTGTCGTCTATCAGTTAGCCGACGTTACCTGGTTAACTATCTGTCGTCTATTAGTTAGCCATCGTTATCTGGTTTAACCCCTGTCGTCTATTAGTTAACCACCGTTACCTGGTTTAATCTCTGTCGTCTATTAGTTAGCCACTGTTTCCTGGTTAACTATCTGTCGTCTATTAGTTAACCAATATTACCTGGTTTAATATCTGTCGTCTATTAGTTAATCACCGTTACCTGGTTAACTATCTGTCGTCTATTAGTTAGCCACTGTTTCCTGGTTTAACCTCTATCGTCTTTTAGTTAACCACCGTTACCTGGTTTAACCCCTGTCGTCTATCAGTTAGCCATCGTTACCTGGTTTAACCCCTGTCGTCTATCAGTTAGCCACCGTTACCTGATTATCACCAGTATAATGCTAGTTACCTGATAATTAATATTTTCATTTAAAATGTGACAAGGACATTAAATACTGAAAAGAAAAAGACAATATAGCGGAAGTATACCTGTTTTATATACAAATCATATAATTACTTGTTCCCTGTTAAGGATGCATGCTGAATCCTCGAATACTTTTCGGTAGGGAATCGGGAAATAGATATGTTGACATACAAAGTGTACCTTCTTCTGTGTTTGATATACTTCGTGTAATTCTTCAGCAAGTCCTTTGACAGAATATTGGGATTTGTGGATATCAATACTACACTACACTACACTACACTAAACTACACTACACTACGCTACGCTACACTACACTACACTACACAACACACAACACTACACTACACACTACACTACACTACACTACACTACGATATCTTATGCTACACTACACTACACTACACTACACTAAACTGTACTGTAATACACTACAGTACACTACACTATAAACAAAATAAGGATATTCCCTAGACTATTTATAGTAACAATTTATATCAGCATTTGTTGTATGTATTAATTCGCATGTCAACGATAAACATCAACAAAAAATACAATACAGCTGATTGTTCTCGTCTGAGCTTAAAATAACTGTTTATGTCACTGACATTTTTTGGGAGGGATTAACGGAGAAAAGAAGAACAGACGTAATCTCATGAGCTATACATAGGAACATGTTCACATTTATCACCATATATGGATGTGTTTATATTTAAATATTACATTAGCCCAATACAGAGTTTGCATTTGTGTTAACTTGTGTGAAAAAGAAGTAATAATAACAATGAATGATGTAGTAAATTGAAATACATCAAAATTGTTTTATAAACTGACTACTTAATAGCCGTGTCTGTTATTAACATTGCTGAAGGAATCAAAGGGTACTGGGGAAATCCTTAGACGAGATCCATTTATAGACGTGTAACTTCAATTCGACAAAGTTCTGTCGTGTTTCCTGTGTAATAGACATTCTTATCTATACCAATACAGTATCTTTGAATGATAAACTATGGTAAATAAAAACCACATATAATAGAAAACAAAAAACCTTGCGGACAGTATTACTTTTTAATGGTTTAAGCATTTTTATCGCATGTTTCAAACGTGTTTACTAGCAAGCAGAGATGAACACGTAATATGATAACTGCAATAATCCCGAGATTATATTTTTCATCGAATGAAATTGGAGTGTCCCGAAAGCAAACATAGACTTACCTGAAAGTTATTGGTGAAGCTTTTGAACGATTCATTCAAGGCCCCGAGTCCTCAAAAGAAACAAAATGACCTTATTGGTAATGTGTGAAACTGTTTGAGAGTTCGCACAACAATAATGTGATAACAAGTATCATATACAGTGAGTTTGGTGTAGTTGTTTAAAACTTCACACGCTACAGTCTGGGTACATGTACAAATAGACTATGTTTTAAATGACAATAAAAGTTGCTGATTTTTGGCCTGTAGCATGCTGGGAGGAACGGTTACCAATTTTGTTAATGTGATTGACCTTGTTCTTTTTTGAAGCTCACATTGGATGATTGGATGAAGGGCTACCATATTTATTTAAGGTATCTTTGGTCGAATGAGTTGAGATCTTTAAATTTCCTTTTCATCAAGAAATAGGTCCGGAGTCATGGCATTTGTGTACTATCATGCTCAAGGAATAGGATTTCAAGTTTGCAGGAAATGTTTTTATGAACCAACAATTTCTTCTTTGTAAGGTGTAGAGTAGTTGAGCAATAAGCTTATTTGCCCTCTTTCATATATTGGTCTTTATAGTTAGATGACCATTTAGGCCCATTGGACCTCTTTTTTCTTTACTGGTCAATTTCATGTTAACAAGTAACATTATGTTCTTTGTTCACAAAAACAATGTTCTTTGGATTACTTCAAATTTATTTCCTTTTTGGGATAATTTTTCATTTTTCTGTGGAAAAGTTCCTAACATATCTCAAATCTGTAATTATGTATGAAATACATACGATATCTTGTAAAAAGACCCATAAACATCTTATTTATGTTATACACTTTTAATATTTATATTGAAGATAAGATTTTGTATAATCATACGTCGGATATCATTGAGTTTCGGTCAATATTATTACCTTCACATACATAGTGTAGATTATGAAAGTCCAATTCACCTGCGTATTTTTTTCAAGCATTTATCATAAGCCAGTAAATGTATACATGTACATATATATATTCCATAAAGACAATTAAGCTCTCACAACAATTAGGTAAAAACATATTTTCAGTCATTATGATATCACAGGAAAATAGTCGCGCACATCAACCACAGATTTTGATTTCAAACATGACTTCTTATAGATATTGTTTCCGTGATTTTACTTGAATCAGATGTGAAAACCTGATATACAGTACATGTACACCAGTGTAAGATGCCGTTAATTTCCATTTTACTTTTAGGCCAATTCTGATCAATCTAATTAAATCCATTTTGATTGGTCATTGTTGAATCTCATATGTTCAATTATCATAACTATTGTGTGCATATGTATTCTGAACACTGTCA